ACTGTTGACTCCCGCCAGAAATATTTTTTGGTATTTAATATTTATTTTTTTTCAGAAATAATATTCGGACCGAAAATGGTCTGAATATTATTGGCGCGTCTATACTGTGACGCCCGCCGGAAATATACGGACCGATACCGGTCCGAATATGTTCATTAGTATATTCAGACCGATATTGGTTCGAATATTTAGTTTTTCGGACCGACAATATTCGGTCCGTATATGGTCGGTCCGTATACGTCATTTTTCTAGTAGTGTAAGGAAACAAATTATTGGAATTCAGAATTGAATTCAACTTTGCAAAATCAAAAACTCATAAATTTGCAAATGAAACTCACCTCAAGAAAAGCTTTTGTCACTCTGGCCTTTCTTTTTATCATAAGGCAATTGTGGAATATTTTTACTTTATCAACAGAATACTAGGTAGCCAGAGCATGTAGGCCGCTACATGCATCATCACTTCTCACATCTTTTATAGTAGTAGACAGTACACAGCAACCTTTGAGCTTGATTACTTGACTTCGTTTAGTTTTTTTTTTTTTTTTGATAAGGACAATGATTAGTAAGTTAGTATTGTTAGATGTTAACAACTGAAGATTCGATTATCAAATTTGGTGAACAGTCCACCTGCTTCAACGAGAGGCGTGGCCATCGGGCCGCTTGGTGGAGTTCCTTGACTTTATTTAGTTGAAATGGAGGAACCACAGTTTTTAGCAGAATTATTCTTGGAAGGTCCTGATATTCCTACAGTTTTTGGTTGAGTAGCCGGAATGTGTACAGGAGTTCCATCAACTCAGATTGACAAATGAGTTTGAAATCCCACAGAACCTGGAAAAAAGTACCATTAAGGATGCAAATTATACAGCTTTCCAGCCCCACATTCTGAAAAATCTGAACTAAAATAAGCAGAAAATGCATGCCTATTATCTGTTATGTAATTATCAATATGCGAAAGCAGCTTGAAAAGCTATAATCTAGACAAATTCAGTATTTCAAAGTAATGTTGGAGTCTTTGAGATGCAAGCTTGAACACTGTATACCTGAACCAAGCAATTGCCATCAAATTCCTACTAAGCTCTGCATGAAATTCAAAGAAGAGAGTTTCAAATAACTACTTTACTATGATAATGAAACAAGAAAGAAATTCACTTATGGTAGCAAAAGCAGACAGCAACAAGACAGCAAGTATATAAAAGCTTAAAACCCCTTTTTGGTCCCTGAACTATTGTACGGACCCCCGATTTGGTCCCTGAACTAAAAAAATCCCTGATTTG